GCTCAGGTGATCCTTCTGCCTCAGCCTTCCAAGTAGCTGGAACTACAGGCACACGCCACCATGCCCGGGTAATTTTTGATTGTAGAGATGAGGTCTTGCCAAGTTGCCCACGCTGGTCTCAAACCGGTGAGCTCAGGCAATCCTCTTGCCTCAGCCTCCCAAAGTGCTGGGATTATAGGCATGAGCCACCATGCACGGCCGGACCTTGATACTTTTCAAGATACGTGCCAGTTTTTTGTAGAATGTCCATGGGATAAATCCAGGTTATGCACATTTGACAGGACCACCACAGAAATGATCCCTTACTGCCAATTTGAATGTAATACTAGTCCTTCCCACTCCCTATCCCTGGCTGGTTAAAAAAATTTTTTTTGCCACATTTTTTATTTTTGGGCAATGTGGTGTGTACCCAGATAGGGTCTTTGTTATACTTATTCTGCTTGGGTTCACTGAACTTCTTGGATCGGTAAGTTGATGTCTTTCAACAATATTGGGAAAATTTCAGGCATTATTTCTTCAAACATTTCTCTTGCCCCATTCTCTTCCGCTTCTGTATCTCAAATTACAGGAACACTAGATTAATAAAGTCCCACCGGTCTCAAGCCACTGCTGTTTTGTCTCTCTGTGCTTTGGCTTGGTAACCAGTGGCTTGACTTCCTGCTGTGCCCAATTTACTGCTAAGGCCATCCAGTGAAATCTTTTCAGATAGTGTCGTTTTCACATCAGATTTGTATTTTCATTACAAGAATTTCTACTGTTTTTAATTTATATTTTTCAGCCAAAAACCCCAATCTGGTCATACATTGTCTCTTTTCCTGTAAATCTTAAAACATTTAAAACCACTCACATCATGGTCATTTGTGCATCTGCTTCAGTAACTTTTCTATTGATTATTGTGTCAATCTTGTTTCCATCAGAGAATTTGAGACAAAAGAATCAGATATTTATTTTCATAGTTAGTGAATGTTTATTGAATACTGAACTTTGGAGATATATCTTTAAGACTCTGGAATCTGTTTTCTTCTAAACAATGCTGTATTTTGTCCTGGCTTTAAATTACTAATGCATCCCCGCTTTGTCAGGATGACTTTGCAGAATTTGGGGATAAAAGCCCACTGTTAACTCGCAATAAACGGCATCTGCTCAACTCTCAAAAAAATAAAATAAATTACTAATGCATAACCTTGATGCTGTGAAGACCCGATTTTAAGTTTTGAGACAGTTTCTTTTCATTTTGCCCTTAGTGCTAAAGTACTTAGTACTAGAATGCTTTCATTCCCGCCGAAGGCATGGCCCTATTTTGAGTTTCAGTGGGGAATAACAAAGTGTGTACTCAATCCCTCTTGGTAGAACTTGAATTTCAAATTCTACATCCTTGAGCAGCTGCAATCTCTGTCCAATTCTTCAGACTTCAACTTGCTTTCTGCTGGGTTCCTTTAAATTCCACGTTGTGCAAGTGCAATTCTGAAATCCATCAAGGATTTGAAAGGAATACACAGGCAGCTCTGGGGGCTTACTTTCTGAGGCGCTCTCCTTCCCCAAATTTCCCTTCTTTCAGGGCCTCCGTAAGTCCCAGATAACTCAGCCCCACAAGACAACAACCCTGTGCTTGAGGTCTATACCTGAGGGAACTGCAAAAACTGGAAACTGTGCTGCGACTAAAGCTGGTTAATGTGAATCCCTTTTAGCACAGGATTGTGTGCAGCTCCTGCCTGATTTTGATTGCTCTCCAGAGCTGCCTAGACATTGCTTTCCATATTTTTTAAGAATTTATAATTGTTATTGACAAGAGGGTCCAATACAAGCTACTCCTTCATTAACAGATTGCAACCCCTGAAATCTCAGAAGAGTTGTAAAACAAAAACTTAAAAGCAAAATAAAGTTTATCTTTTATTTCCAATCCATTAGGATAAAAACCCGCTTTATGCAGCTGTACCCTTTAATTTCTTTTGAAGAAAAGTACAAAAGATCAGACTAGAATTGAACACAAGCATTTAAAGGAAAAACCTTTGATTCAAGAGTCCAAAAACAAACTGTAAATGGCTCATTTTACCAAAAGAATTAGTTTTTGTACAAAATATAAAGAATTTTAACACTATAAACAAAGACTGCTGTATATGTACTTAAATTAGAATTCTAGTATCTTCCTCCAATTCTTCTTGAGCACAAAGCATATTTGCAAGTCAGAAATCTAATAACCTCAGTGGACAGAATGTCTTAGAATAAGCTTTTACCCTTAAGATACATGGAAAGACATTACTGATTCTTTCCCTTGGCTCTAAGTCCAGTATATCTGCAAGTTAATTTAGTTTACCAAACTCTGCCATAGTAACATGAAGAGCACACTAACGCTCAATGTTTAAGCATTATCGTTTAGGAAGTAATATAACACAGAGCTCAACACAAAATCTAAAAGTCACAATCTAAGTCATTAAATTCAGAAAACCTCAACAACTTCTATCTTTATTGAAAAAAGACTAAACCAGTGCCCTATCGCTGACTACATCATTATTCTATTTTCATGGCCCTTCTATGAAAGAAACACAGATTGAAATAAAACTTGATAATAGCAAGTCATAGAAAAGAGTTCTCTAGCACTACCTAAACTCCTGATTGATCAGGAAAGTGAAGTAACTTCTGTACAGTAATAGAATTCTCTTATTCAATGTTTATGACAATTTTAACCTATGTATCTTTCAACATTTGAAATCTTATCTAAAAACTTTCCCAATATAATTATAATCACAATGATTTTATTTTTGAGTCAGAGTCTTACTGTGGCATCCAGGCTGGAGTGCAGTGGCATGCTGCTCACAGCCACTGCAGCCTCGACCTGCTGAGCTCAGGTGATCCTTCTGCCTCAGCCTTCCAAGTAGCTGGCATGCACCACCATGCCTAGTTAATGTTTTGATTTATTGTAGAGACAAGGTCTCACCATGTTGCCCTGGTTAATCATGATGGTTTTAAAGATTATATTGTAAAAGTTTAGCTTGAACCACATAGTCCTATAATATGATTAGTCAGTCAGTCATGTTAATCATTTTTTAAATGAAAACAAAATGAAATTTTATAAGCTTTACTGAAAATGTTTTAATTTGGAATTTCTCCAATTCTTCTCATCATATATACTTCATTACTACCTTTCATTATCAATATTTTATAATTTATGCTTTAATGTTTGAGATTTTTAAAAAGATACCACCCATCACCTAAAATATGCATAGCTCTGGCTAAAAAAAATGTTGTCCTCTATTTATCTCACCTCTCATTTTTATTATCGAGAGTTTTAACGTCATAATTAGATGAGACATAATTTAAATTATGACTATAAACAGCATATGATCTTAAGAAATCATACATCTTCTATATTTAGATAAATCTTTAACAAGAGCAGGAGTAAAATTAAGAATGTATGTCTTCATTATAAAATTCTTATCTAGTAGGGGCAAGTTTTTTATTTTAATGTATTCTCTCAAAACCTAAGCAACCTTTCCTAAATGAAAAATCTTTGTTACTACTACAAAATTATTCTTTCTACCCATGACATTTTACATAGCATCATTTAAGCACCAAAGAAAGGTTCTGTAAACAAACTTTTGACCAGTAAACTAAGGGCAAATATCCATTTGCCTTTATTACAATATTTAAAAGGCCATGATATGAGTCTCTACTTCCTACAATGACATTTTTATAATAAAAACCCAGGCATATTTATACAAACACGAAACAGAATTACTATACAGTTTTGGGGAACAAAAGGCAGATCAACAGACTAGAACTTTTTAGTTAATAAAGTGAGCACAAGAAACCTATAAAATGTATGGAGTGTATAAAAATTCAGGTTTTTTTAAAGTTTCATTGAAGGGATTAATAATTATTAAGAATAAAAGATGGTAGTTCCACTGGCTTACAGTTATCTTGTAAACAGTAAAAAAGAAGCAATAAATTAGAAACGTCTTAGCTTCCGGTTTGTCCCTTCTCTTGCACTGGAACCACTTTCATAGCAGTTAAAATAGGCTCTCTTGAATATCAGAATAATTCAAGCAGAAAATAAACTCAATCAGGAATAAGATAACAGTCTACAACAGATTTTTGACAAACATATTAGAAAAAAAATACTGCAGGTCACGTGAGGACTGATCTACATGTTATATGACAGAGTAACTTAAACCTTCAAACCTTCTCTATTCTACCAGATTTGCTTTGCTGCTATTATATTGCTTTCTAAATGGCATGGTAGCAAGGTAATAGAAAAATAAAAAGTAAAAAGAACATAACAATTTCTAGTGTCTGTAGATTTATGAAGAAAAAGAAACCCTCAAAATAACTTTTTCCTATTGTAATTACTTAGAAAAAAGTTTCATTTGGCACACTGAATTTATAAAAAGAAATGAAAAAAAGAAACTACGGGTGTTTGGCATTCCAATCACCAGTAGTTAAGACAACAGTAGGAAAGCAAAGTAGGAAAAATTACTATTTTAAGAAAAAACGTCAGAAGACAGCCAAAGGCTCTTGTGTCTTCTACCATTCACTGTCTCTGGAATACTTTCATCTGTAACATAATATACAAATTATTATTTACACTATGATTATATTGGTGAAGAAGACCAGAATCGGTTTTTTTTGTTTGTTTGTTTTGAGTTGGAGTCTCACTCTGTCACCCAGACTGGAGTGCAGTGGCCACTCCCGGACACCGCAGCCTCGACCCACTGGGCTCCGGCGATCCTTCCGCCTCAGCCTTCCAAGTAGCTGGAACTACAGTTGTGCACTACCATGTCCGGCTAATTTTTGATTTATTGTAGAGATGAGGTCTCGTAAGTTGCCCAGGCGGGTGTCAAACCCGCGGGCTCAGACAATCCACTCACCTCAGCCTCCCAAGGCACGGGATTACAGGCTGAGCCACCGAGCCCGGCTCAGAATCGGTTTTTGTTGTGCTCTAACTTACAGTGCCCATTGAGATAACTGTGACTGTCAAGGTAAGAAGGCCTTCAACAACAAACTGTTCCATTTGCATTATATATTTTATTTAAATTTATTTTCTGGTTCATCTTCAAGTTTGGTGCGCAAATATGTAAGACTCTTGAAAAGTTCTGTAAACTTAGGCTGAGTTTCTGTAGCTGACAACTGTTCACTGAAGATCGTGTGTTTCTCTCGTTAAGTAAATTGTTCCGCAGGCTTGCAAAAGTATTTTCTTAAACAGTGGTATCTCCAAAGTCCTTGTTCCAACGTATGTATGCTTCTAAGGTTTGAGGGCTCACGCTGCGTTTTATCTTTTTCAAGGATTCAGTGAAGTCAGATAATCGAATATTTCTCATCTAAGTTTTTAAAAAACACACGACAATACAAATGATGAATATGTATACAGTGACTGACGCAATAATGGAATGTAGTAATGGTGCTGTTTATTACTATTATAATAAATATACATAAATGTATTTAGAAAAATCATGCCAATCATATAAACATATTTTTATATTATTGATAATAGGCAAGTACGCTCTTCAAAAAAACTTACAAAATGTTATACTATTAAGCTTTTAATGCTTGTGTTTGTTTCATAGGTATAATATTTTAAAGCAGATTTTTCCAATATAAAAACAAAATATATTACATACAGAAAAGTCGACAAAATATAGAAAAATAGGAGAAAAGAATCATACCCAACTCTACCACTCAGATATACACCCATTATTTGGCTTATTTCCTTCCCATTTCTTTTCTTTTCTTTTTTGAGTTGGCGTCTCACTCTGTCGCCCAGACTGGAGTGCAGTGGCCGCTTCCAGCCACCGCAGCCTCGACCTGCTGGGCTCCGGCGATCCTTCCGCCTCAGCCTTCCAAGTAGCCGGAATTACACGCATGCGCTACCACGCCCGGCTGATTTTTTTTATTTATTGTACAGATGAGGTCTCGCTGCCCAGGTGGGTCTCGAACCCGCGGGCTCAGGCAATCCACTCACCTCAGCCTCCCAAAGGCGCGGGATTACAGGCTGAGCCACCGAGCCCAGCTATGTAAGTATTTTTAAATGACAAATGGAGTTTGGCAATTTGACCTGTGTTAAAAATTGTTATTAGTATCTACCTGTATATTTAGTCCAAAAATAAGATTTTTTTAATTTTTTGAGTTGGAGTCTCACTCTGTTGCCCAGCCATGGCACACTCACGGTCATCCAGCGTTGACCTGCTGGGCTCCGCAATCCTTCCACCTCAGCCTTCCAAGCAGCTGGAACTACAGGCACATGCTATCACACCCAGCTAATTTTTTAAAATTTTATTGTAGAAATGAGGTCTTGTCAAATTGCCCAGGCTAGTCTCAAACCCATGGGCTCAGGAAATCCACTCGCTTCAGTCTCCCAAAGTGCTAGGATGACAGGCTGAGCCACCAAGCCTGGTCAGAAATAAGATGTTAAAGAAGAATTTCTTATAATAAAGATGTCTATTTCAGAACATCTTGGATATCTTTATAAGCATAGATTAAGAAAACAAGCAGGGTACAGTGGCTCATGCCTGTCATCCCAGCACTTTGGAAGGCTGAGATGAGAGGATTGCCTGAGTCCAGGAGTTTTAGACCAGCATGGGCAACTTGACAAGACCTCATTTCTACAATAAATAAAAAAATTAGCTGGGCATGGTGGCGCATCTGTTTGTAGTTATAGCTAGTTGGAAGGCTGAGGTGGAAGGTTCACCTAAACTCAGCAAGTCAAGGCTGCAGTGGCCATGAGTGTGCCATTGCATTCCAGCCCGGACGACAGAGTGAGACTTTGACTCAAAAATAAAAATAAAAAAGAAAACAATTTACACTTGCAATTTATAAATAAATCTCAAAAATCTTAGGCAAAAACACACCATGACATATAGTTACCACATAAACACCATATGAGCCCTACTTGATTCTTATATAACTGTAAAACACATACTGGCTCTTCCTAACGCCTGAAGTGTAGGACAATGAACGTAATGTGGGTATCACCTATAATATCACTAAATACAATTTATCTGCTACAGAAACTAAGGTTTTAAAAGCTTCTGATGCCGGGCTCGGTGGCTCAGCCTATAATCCTGCGATTTTGGGAGGCTGAGATGAGTGGATTGTCTGAGCCTGCGGGTTCGAGACCCGCCTGGGAAGGCGAGACTTCATCTCTACAATAAATCGAAAAATCAGCCAGGCGTGGTAGCGCGCCTGTAGTTCCGGCTACTTGGAAGGCTGAGGCAGAAGGATCGCCGGAGCCCAGCAGGTCGAGGCTGCGGTGGCCGGGAGCGGCCACTGCACTCCAGTCTGAGCGACAGAGTGAGATTCCAACTCATAAAAAAAAAAA